TTCATTCTTCCTGTCCGCTAAAGTGAAGCTAGTTTTCCTCACATGCCTGGAAGATGTCTGGTGCTACTACCACAGATGATCTCGCTCTGGAAATGGAATTGAACGATTCAGATTAGCTAGCTGAAAGAATAGAAGTGGAAGAGCGTAGCCGCCTGCGGCCCGGGCTGCCTGTCACAACTCCAGTCCGGCGTGCAGATGACGTCATACACACTCCGCTTTGTTTTTAAACGATATAAATATAAAAAATATAACCGTGGATGTCTGGAGGACAGCGATTCGCCTACATGTTATGAATGCTGGCGTACCATAAAGAATAAATTATGAACAGTTTAGTTTGTGCCTTCAACTCGTTGCCCATAGGAAGAAATTACCTGCATATAACCTAACAGAATATCTTCAGAACAGCTCCAAATGACACAAAACTCATACGGGTGAGTAGAACATGATGTAGTAACGTAAAATCAAGGGTCCAATGTAAAAGAACTGTGTTCCCCTTTAACTGTGCATCAAGCACAAAAGGCTTTGTTTTTGCTGCACCTCTTGCTGCTCAAATCGCGGCGTGAACGCATCATTGTTTGAATTATCGTATGAAATATAATGCTGTACCTAAAAATGATCTCATGTCTTCCTTATGAAATTTCCAACTCTAGTCAAGCTCTTCCCATAATCAGGACAAAGGTAGTGTTGTAACAAAGACCAAAAGTTTGAAATGCTATTTCTTGCATTTTGAGGTGGAAAGCTGCAGAGAGTCTAAATTTCCAGGGGAGGATACCCCGGACCCTCCTACGCCACCCAAAGTCTAAAGATGTGATACATCAATGAAATATTCCCAGCTAAAAGCCTGATCCAGGTCCAGAAAGTTAAAAACCGGGCCTTGTTTTCATTCATCCCGTTCACTTAACCAGGTGAGGAATCTGTGCTGTGTGGCTGGAAAAGCCAATGGTTGGAAGTGATCTGTCTACAGGCTTTTTACTTTCAGGACCTGGATTATCCACCTCTGCATCTGGATTGCTTGTAGAGCTGAAACAATCAGATAATCAGGGTTCAATGTTTATTAAAATAATAATCAGCTAATTTAACACTAAATCAATGTTAAAGATCTTATGTCAGGCCTTATGTATCTGTAAAAAAGATAGTTCAGCTTATCGGACATTAAGTTGTGTGAAACAGAAACTGAGGAGCAACAGTATCCCAGTTATAGGGGTGTGGGAAATAATCGTTTTGGCGATATATCGTGATATTCGGCTGCCCAATA